AGGGGGTGATGTGAGCTGAGGGTGAGCCTTGACAGTCGCACTGGAGGAGATGATCGGATGGTGTCGGCAGTAGTCAATGGGGAGCCATGAGAGGGGGCCGAGCGCAGCTGCTCCTTTGCCTCCACCTCCTTCTGCGTATAAAACAATCCTCAATTTTTCATCTACTGATTTTAGGAGAAAGTGTCATTTTATACACAGAAAAATACAGCATTTATTTATTTAATTATTTAATTATTTATTTACCGCCTTTCTCCCCAAAAAGATCCAAGGCAGCTTACATCATTAAAACAGTATTTTAATGTATAGACGTATGCAAGCCATAACTGGTCTGAAGCATATAAAACAATCCTCAATTTTTCATCTACTGATTTTAGGAAAAAGTGTCATTTTATACACAGAAAAATACAGCATTTATTTATTTAATTATTTAATTATTTATTTACCGCCTTTCTCCCCAAAAAGATCCAAGGCAGCTTACATCATTAAAACAGTATTTTAATGTATAGACGTATGCAAGCCATAACTGGTCTGAAGTTTCCTGATGTACAGTGTATGCCTGGATATTTATTGGCACTGACGTGTCATCGGCATACTTAAAATGCATATAAAGCTTATGCTGGATGAATTGCCAAGAAACTCCAGCCAATAAACCAGTTAAGGTAAGAGAGTGATTAGTAAAGGGGACAACTCTGAGGTAGTTAGTTACCTGTGTGATTAATTAATAAGGTACTTGTAACTGTTTCCTCTCCCATCCTAGTAATGTATAACTATAAGAAGTCCCAACACTTGTAGTTTAAGTGAACAGCTAAAGTACAAGAAGAAATGTAAAGGAGGTTTAAACTTATAATTGAGGTAGAACCTAGAGTGTAGTAGTAATTTTACTCTCAACAGGGAACTACTATATAAAAAAGAGGCATTATTGCAAGAAATACTTCTATGGTACTTCTGTGCTTTGAGGCTTTGGAGACATGAAATCAGGATCAAGCCAGCATTATACTGTAAATAAGTAATTGTGAAAGAAGGAAGTGTACTGAGAAAAGCCTAACCCCATGAGAATAGTTCTGAAGTGACTGCTAACAGATATGATCAACAACCTGTACTGTGATCTTCAGTAAAACTCTGGAGACGATGAAGGGAAGAGCTAGACAAGTTCTCCATGCATCTTAATTATGTAGCAACAAGGGACATTTGCCAATTGTTTTAGAGCATTAATCATCTCTCCATATGTTTTACTCAGTCCTACTAATCTGTTTTGTATTTCCCGTGAGTAAATTGTAAATGCTCTTTGCAGATTAATCTCTAATATAATATAGTATAATATAATAAATAGTCCTTAAAATGGCTTTCTTGGCTCCTGTAGCTTCTCAACAGGACCACTGGTGCTCTGAATTTCTGCAGACATGTCTAGTCATGCTGGCCACGTGACCACGGAGGATTGTCTGCGGACAAACACTAGCTCTGTGGGTTGGAAATGGAGATGAGCACCGCCGCCTAGAGTCGGACACGAGTGGACAAATTGTCAAGGGGAACATTTACGTTTTAATATGCTATATATGATGGGGATAATGATGATGATGATGAAAACAGACACACACACAAACAAAAATCTGTTTGAGAAACTGGAGAGCTGCTATCTATCACAGTAGACAATATTGGACCATCACACAAACTCATCAGATTCAGACACCTTTCTCTGCCAACAGAGGCAGGAAACCTTCCTGGTGACTTTCTCTGCCCAGCGATTACAGGAAAGATGTAAAGGGAAGAAGAGAGTGAGGAATGGTGAATGAGGGGGCACAGAACAAAGGGAAATTGGAAGTTCAGTGAGGGACAGGCAGGGAAGAAGAAGGGAGTATGGAGAGGGATTGGGCAAAGGGGAAAGAAAAGCAAAGGTGGGTGAGCAGAAAGTTTAAAGTATCAGTTTCTGTTCTGACATATCAATGTCCTTTCAGATGTCCTTTCCTATCCATATCAGTATTTCATTATCTTTTACTACAGTGCTAACTAACTGATTATCTTGGAACTGAAGTGCTGGAAGGAACCCTAGGGATCAATGAGTTATGCTAACTAACTGTAATGGATTATCTTGGAACTGAAGAGCTGGAAGGAACCCTAGGGATCAATGAGTTCACCTCCTGTCAAGGAGACACAATGAGGAATTGAATTCCCAACCCCTACTCCACAGTCAGAGACCTAAGCCATTGAACTACCCACCAGTTGATTAGATGGAAGGGTCACAGTGTCTTTTTTTTGCTTTTGTTTTGTTTTTTGTTTCTTGTTGAAATGTTACTATTAAACCTGCGAATGTGATTTAGGGCTGAAAAATGGCCAGAGCAGAAGGGCTATGCAGCCTCTCTTCTTCAACACTGATTTTTAAAAAAGAGAGTGTCAAAAACAAGTTACACATGAGTGAAATTGGACCTAAATTGATCTCTGCCCCCATACAGTCAAATTAGACTTGGTCACCAGGCTCACTAGCTCTGACATTCCAATTGAAGAAATGCATTGCAGTCAGTGCCCTTCTGCATTATTTATTACTTCTTTTTAAATATTGCTTTTCCGCTCAGAGGAGACTGGAGTAGCATACGCGGTTCTGCTCTATTTTGTCCTCATAACCACTTTGAAATAGATTTCTCTGAAACAATTCTGGAAAACACAGAAAGTACTGCCCAGAACAATATGTATATGAAGGGATATGCAGCCATACATTTTCCATAGGGACATTTGAATTTTTTAAAATGTAATAATTTAGGGAGTAAATACCAGAGATCAATAGGTTACCTACCTGTAATTGTAGTTCTTCGAGTGGACTTCTGTGATTCACACTCTGGGTGATCTGCGCCTGCGCAGCACCTCATCAGAAAGTTCTAGAGCTTCTGAGGTAGCAAAAACACATTAGAATAAGCCCCCTCCCCCCTTGCATAAGTGCCATGGCACCAAGGCTCCCCTTTCAGTTGCGTCAACCACCGCTAAATTAAGCAGAATGGTGTGACTGTGGGGAGGGCAGGCAGGATGTGTGAATCACAGAGCTCCATTCGAAGAACGACAATTACAGGTGGGCAACCTGTCATTCTTCTTCATGGCTTCTGTGAATCCCATTCTGGGTGACTAAAAAGCTGTCTTACCCAGAGGCAGGGTGTCACGCCAAGGTAGAGGCTAGAACAACACATCCAAAGGCCACATCAGAATTCTGCT